GGACACAATACACCTATCAGGCCAATGAATGGCCATCACTCATAAAACACTGAAAAACACAGTGGAAAGGACTTAAAACCCCAAAAAACCTAAATGATGACACAGTGCATGCGTGGAAACAACTCCTCTGGACCTGCCCCTTCCTGCGCAATGGAAAGAGCTGGCCATACCAGATTTGAGAAAAACGAAAGAGGTAGAGAAGTAAGTAAGGAAAGGAAAAGTGGGGAAGGAGGGAAAGAAGGAAGAAGAAAAAGAAAGAAAAAAAAGGGCAGGAATAAAAATGGAAGGGAAGGAAGGAAGGAGAAGGAAGGAAGGAAAGAGACATAGGAAAGGATGGAAAGGAGGGAGGGAAAGAGGAAAGGAAGGAGAGAAGAAAGGAAAGAAAGAGGTAGAAAAGGAAGGAAAAGAAAAGGAAGAAGGGAAAGGGAGGGAAAAAAGATGGGGAAAGAAAGAAAAAAGGGAGGAAAAGAGGAAGGGAAGAGAAAAAAGAAAAAGAATGAAAGAGAAAGGAAGAAGGAGAGAAGAAGGAAAAAGAGAGAAAGAATGAAAAGAAAGAGAAAAGGATGGAGAAAAGGAGGGAGGGAAAGGGGGAAGGAAGAGAGAAGAAGGAAGAAAAGAAAGAGGCAGAGAAGGAAGAGAAGAGGAAGAAGGGGAGATAAGGAAGGAAAGAGGTAGAGAAGGAAGGAACAGACTGAGGCCACAGCAAAGTGTGGGTGGGGACAGCTAGTATGTTTATAAAACATCACCTTTTTAAATGTATGAAGTCAATTTGCTATTTAGCTCCCACAAAGGATGTAAATGTTGGGATTGCAGAATATGGCTTAGAATAATTTTGAGAAAGCATTCGTTCACTTTTAATAAATGATTCCCCCAGGTAGGAAGCAGCCAGGCTTTGAAGCTACAAGACGATTCAGTACTAATCAAGCTGGCCAACTGCAACATTTCCACTTGCCTCCAACAGACAAGAGTTCTTTCTCCCACCCTGGACATTATTCCACAGATATAAAAACCCCTCTTGCCTAGTTCAACAGACCTCGCAACCTCTGATGATGCCTGCCATAGATGTGAGCAAAATATTAGGAGACAATGCTTCTGGAACATGTCCATACAGCCCAACTGTATATTCAATTGTCTGAAAACTCAGTGTTTAATTTCTTTTAATTTCACTTTAGGTCAGTGTTAATTCTCTGACTAACTGATTTTGCATTGCTGCATTGCCATTCGAATGTAACAAAGTCAAGTCACTTCTCAGACACTCTTAAATGCTTTTTAATGCAAATGCATAATTTATGAGGGTTATTGTCCTTCATCTAACTATTAGCATGCACAGGCATTGATCTGGAACATCAATTGCTTTGACTAAATGTGATGTAAGGGAGGGAAAACTCGAAGTCATCCACATTTGATGGCCTCTTAATCCTTAGATAAAGTATTGTGTAACATGTATTGTCAAAGGCTTTCATGGCCAGAATCACTGGGTTGTTGTACTTTTTTTCGGGCTATGTGGCCATGTTCTAGAAGCATTCTCTCCTGACGTTTCACCTGCATCTATGGCAAGCATCCTCAGAGGTTGTGAGGTCTGTTGGAATATATCTGTGGAATGACGGGTGGGACAAAGAACTCTTGTCTGTTGGAGCTAGGTGTGAATGTTTCAACTGACCACCTTGATTAGCATTTGATGGCCTGGCAGTTTTTTGGTGTGGCTTGTTAGTGCCTGGGGGAATCTTTTGTTGAGAGGTGATTAGCTGTCCCTGATTGTTGTTTGTTGAAGGCTTTCATGGCCGGAATCACTGGGTTGTTGTAGGTTTTTCCGGGCTATATGGCCATGGTCTAGAGGCATTCTCTCCTGACGTTTCGCCTGCATCTATGGCAAGCATCCTCAGAGGTAGTGAGGTCTGTTGGAACTAGGAAAAAGGGTTTATATATCTGTGGAATGATCAGGGTGAGACAAAGGACTCGAGTTTCAACTGGAGCTAACACCAAAGGAAACAACCAATGCTAAGAACATGGGTTTATATATCTGTGGAATGACCAGAGTGGGACAAAGGACTCTTGTCTGTTGGGGTTAGGTGTGAATGTTTCAACTGATCACCTTGATTAGCATTTGATCGCCTGGCAGTTTTTTGGTGTGACTTGTTAATGCCTGGGGCAATCTTTTGTTGAGAGGTGATTAGCTGTCCCTGGTTGTTTCCTCTCTGTTGTTTTGCTGTTGTGATTTTAGAGTTTTTTAATACCGGTAGCCAGATGTTGTTCATTTTCATGGTTTCCTCCTTTCTGTTGAAATTGTCCACATGCTTATGGATTTCAATGGCTTCTCTGTGTAGCCTGACATGGTAGTTGTTAGAGTGGTCCAGCATTTCTGTGTTCTCAAATAATATGCTGTGTCCAGGTTGGTTCATCAGGTGCTCTGCTATGGCTGACTTCTCTGGTTGAAGTAGTCTGCAGTGCCTTTCATGTTCCTTGATTCGTGTTTGGGCACTGCTGCGTTTGGTGGTCCCTATGTACTTGTCCACAGCTGCATGGTATACGGTAGACTCCTGCAGAAGTGAGAGGATCCCTCTTGTCCTTTGCTGAATGTAGCATTTGTTGGATTTTCTTGGTGGGTCTGTAGATAGTTTGTATGTTGTGTTTCCTCATCAGCTTCCCTATGCGGGCAGTGAGTCCCTTGATGTATGGCAAGAACATACATGGGTGGATCTTCGTCTTTATTCTCGTGGCTTGTTCTCGATCTTGCAGCTCTTCTGATGTCTGAGGTGGAGTATCCATTGGCCTGGAGAGCCCAGTTGAGGTGGTTCAGTTCATCTTGGAGGAGGTGGGGTTCGCAGATTCTTTTTGCACGTCTGCCAAGGCTTTAATGGTGCTTCTTTTTTTACTTGGGTGATGGTTGGAGTTTTTATGTAGATATCTATCTGTGTGTGTAGTTTTCTGTAAACTGTGTGACCCAATTGTTGATCTGGTTTGCGGATGACTAGGACATCTAGAAAAGGCAGTTTTCCTTCATTTTCTTTTTCCATGGTGAATTGGATGTTTGGGTGGATGCTGTTGAGATGGTCCAGGAACCTGTCTAGTTCTTCTTCTCCATGGCTCCAAATGGTGAAAGTGTCATCCACATATCTGAACCATATAGTGGGCTTTTTTGTTGCTGTTTCCAGGGCTTGTTTTTCAAAGTGTTCCATGTAGAAATTTGCTATGACTGGGTGAGAGGGCTCCCCATAGGGCGCCCCATATTGCGTAACGTCATAGCAAACTCCAGGGAGCAGAGCAAATATCTCACAGCAACACGTTTTGGAATCTGTTATGGGTACCTTGTGCTCATAGAACTTAACTGAGTGTACCTTAAAGTTGTGAAAGTATTTTGATAAGCTGTCACGAAACCTGAAATACTACCCACATGAAGGAGCCCTCGGTGGTGCAATGGGTTAAACCTTTGTGCCGGCTGAACTGCTGACCAAAAGATCGGCATTTCAAATTAGGGGAGAGGGGTGAGCTCCCAACTGGAGCATTGCAGCACACCAAATACCTGGGAGTCACTCTGGACCGTGCTCTGACCTACAAGAAGCACTGCCTGAATATCAAGCAAAAAGTGGGTGCTAGAAACAATATCATACGAAAGCTGACTGGCACAACCTGGGGATCACAACCAGACACAGTGAAGACATCTGCCCTTGTGCTATGCTACTCTGCTGCTGAGTACGCATGCCCAGTGTGGAACACATCTCACCACGCTAAAACAGTAGATGTGGCTCTTAATGAGACATGCCGCATTATCACAGGGTGTCTGCGCCCTACACCACTGGAGAAATTACACTGTTTAGCCGGCATTGCACCACCTGACATCCGCCAGGAAGTAGCAACCAATCGTGAAAGGACCAAGGTAGTGTCATTTCCAACTCATCCCCTGTTTGGATATCAGCCAGCAAGTCAACGACTTAAATCAAGAAATGGTTTTCTAAGATCTACAGAGACACTCGCTGGAACACCTCAGCAAGCGAGAGTCCAAAAGTGGCAGGCTCAAACCCAGAACCTCAATCAATGGCTGATACCAAATGAGAGACTCCCCCCGGGCACACAGAAAACTGGGCAACTTGGAAGGCGCTGAACAGACTGCGCTCTGGCACCACGAGATGCAGAGCCAACCTTAAGAAATGGGGCTACAAAGTGGAATCCACGACATGCGAGTGTGGAGAAGAGCAAACCACAGACCACCTGCTGCAATGCAACCTGAGCCCTGCCACATGCACAATGGAGGACCTTCTTGCAGCAACACCAGAAGCACTCCAAGTGGCCAGCTACTGGTCAAAGGACATTTAATCAACTACCAAGCTTGCAAACTTTGTGTTTTGTTTGTTTGTCTGTTTGTTAAAAAATGCAATGCAACTGTTTGGTCTGCTCCTGACACAATAAATAAATAAATAGCTCCAGCTTCCTATCCGGGGACATGAGAGAAGCCTCCCACAGGAGAGTAAAACATCCAGGCATCCCCTGGGCAACATCCTTGCAGACAGGCAATTCTCTCACACCAGAAGCAACTTGCAATTTCTCAAGTTGCTCCTGACATGAAAAAAAACCTGCATGAAAGAAAATGAAAGCTTCTATATTTTCCCCTTGTATTAAAGAAATATGAATAATAAAGTCTGTGATATTAAAAAACCTTCTTAAAACAATGTACAGAATTGAGGGATATAAAGAGAAGGCAATTCTTCACTATGTCCGTCTGCCTGAGACCGTAAATTGGTGAACCTTGATCTACATTTGCTTAATTCAAATATCGAGCTTATTGTCTAAGCAAAATATCCTGTGTCCTTACCTTGCCAACTTTGTCAAGTATAAATACGTTAAATCCAGTTTTACTTTTTAATTTGTCCAGCAGCTTTGGCATTTGAGGCAATTTTTCCTCTGCATGTTTGGCAGTTGGCCCAGCGGCTGCTTAAACCCATGTTCAATGCTGCCGGTGCAGAATAATATAAATAGCTTAACTTAATCCCCTTATATGTTCACAGTTATCTTCAGTCTTAAGAATCCGGTTCACAGAGGATCACAGAGAATTAAAGGAAGTTGCAGATGTCTGTAAAGGTGAGTGTGTGTGATGAAAGTATTTCTTCGACTTATTAAACTATTGTTTACGTACTCATTGTTTAGGTTAAGTAAATACTGTGGTATAGGTCTCTGGTTATTGGTCTGAGTACGTGTTGTATTTTGCTTTTGTGTGTACGCAAACCAATTGATCACATGTACTGAAATCACTGCTGTCGGTCTGATTTTCATGCTACTTTTCTGTATTGAACTGCTTGCTGTTGATGATATTATCCAATCATCCATGTATAATTGATCAACATCAGAATACCAGGTAGTATCAATTGAAGTACTGTATATACTCGAGTATAAGCCTTGTTTTTCAGACCTTTTTTTTAGGCTGAAAAAGTCCCCCTCGGCTTATACTCGAGTCAAGGTTATTTATTTTTTTACTCTGTTATAAATAAATCTATATACAGTATATTCTGGCGTATAAGACTACTTTTTAACCCAAGAAAATCTTCTCAAAAATCAGGGGTCGTCTTATACGCGGGTGTAGTCTTATGCATGGGAGTCGTCTTAATCTCTATATTTTAACTGGAAAAGTTGGGGGTCGTCTTATACACCCAGTCGTCTTATATGCCGGAATATAGTAATTAAAAATGTAATGTTCGTTTGTGATATTAACAGAACTCCAAAACCACTGGACGAATTGACACCAAATTTAGACACTAGACACCTAACAACCCAATGTATGTCCTTCACTCAAAAAAAATGATTTTGTCATTTGGGAGTTGTAGTTGCTGGGATTTATAGTTCACCTACAATCAAAGAGCATTCTGAACCCCACCAACAATGGAATTGAACCAAACTTGGCACACAGTTCTCCCATGACCAACAGAAAATACTGGAAGGGTTTAGTGGGCAGTGTCCTTTGGTTTTGGAGTTGTAGTTCACCTACATCCAGAGATCACTGTGGACTCAAACAATGATGGATCTGGACCAAACTCTACACGAATACTCAATATGCCCAAATGTGAACACTGGTGGAGTTTGGAGAAAACAGAATCTTGACATTTGGGAGTTGTAGTTGCTGGGATTTATAGTTCACCTACAATCACAGAGCATTCTGAACCCCACCAATGACAGAATTTGCCCAAACCCCGCACACATAACCCCCATGTGGGCCTCAGCAACGCGTGGCAGGGGACGGCTAGTACATAATAAATGCATTATTATCATTACATTTATTATTTTACTTTATTGTTATTATTGCATTTATTATTTTACTCTATTATTATCGTTAATATTACATTTCCATTATATTACTCTATTTTTACACATTTACACATTTACATTGAAGAAGGTCAGAATGATTTAATCAGAGTTGGGCAGTCTTATCTTAAATATTCAAAAACATTTAACCTCTTGATGCCTCAATTAATGTAATTTTATTTGTATCTATTTTTATTTTGAAATTTACCAATAGCTGCTGCATTTCCCACCCTCGGCTTATACTCGAGTCAATCAATTTTCCCAGTTTTTTGTGGTAAAATTAGGTGCCTCAGCTTTGAGTTGGCTCATACTCGAGTATATACGGTAAGTTTCAAGAACAGCCAGACTGGGAATTGAAAGGAGTATATTCAACTGTCTGGAAAGCTCTGTCCTGAATGCTTGGCAAGCTCCAAGCTTTTTAGAACTTTGAGTTTTAAGAAAATTATAAATCAGGCCAGACAAGCAATGGATATAAGTTTTTGCAATTAACAATACATTAGAATTTAAAATATAGTTTAAGTCAGTGGCTCTCAATCGACCTAATGCTATGACCTCTTAATGCAGTTCCTCATGTTGTGGTGACGCCTAACCATAAAATTATTAATTTTTTGCTACTTCATTACTAATTTTGCTACTGTTTTGAATCATAATGTAAATATCTGATATGCAGGATCAATTTGGCACAAATACCCAATATGCCCAAATTTGAATACTGGTGGGGTTGGGGGGGGGGGGTTGATTTTGTTATTTGGGAGTTGTAGTTGCTGGGATTTATAGTTCACCTACAATCAAAGAGCATTCTGAACTCCACCAATGATGGAATTGAACCAAACTTGGCACACAGAACTCCCAACAGAAAATACTGGAAGGTTTTGAACTCAACTTGAGTTTTGGAGTTGTAGTTCACCTCCATCCAGAGAGCACTGTGGACTCAAACAATGATAGATCTGGACCAAACTTGGCACAGATACTCAATATGCCAAAAGTTTACACTCATGGAGTTTAGGAAAAATACATCCTTGACAATTGGAAGTTGTAGTTGCTGGGATAGTTCACCTACAATCAAAGAGCATTCCGAACCCCACTGACAATAGAATTGGACCAAACTTGGCACACAGTACTCCCATGACCAACAGAAAATACTGGAAGGGCTTGGTGGGCAGTGTCCTTTGATTTTGGAGTTGTAGTTCACCTACATCCAGAGATCACTGTGGACTCAAACAATGATGGATCTGGACCAAACTCCACAAGAATACTCAATATGCCCAAAGAAAATACTGGAGGGGTTTGGGGAAAATGGATCCTGACCTTTGGGAATTGTAGTTGTGTGGATGTATAGTTCACCAGGCACCAAAGAGCATTCTGAGCTCCAACAGCAATAATAATACAAAAACAATATAAAATAAAAACATAGGCATAAACTGTTAACACAACATATACATTAAAATCAATTTAAAACTAGTTCCACTCTCTTCTTCGTGCAAGGTAAGCTGCCAGGGGCAAAGATTTCAATAAGGGGTCTGGACTATTTGGAACGGGCTGGGCCAAGGAGAAGGGGAAAATGGGACTGGCTGAATACCATAGTATTCATGAATCTTTTTGATTTTCCTATATGGATTTTCATTCACTGGACCAAATTTGGCACAAATATCCAATACGCCCAAATTTAAATACTGGTAGGGTTGTGGGGGGATTGACTTTGTTATTTGGGACTTACAGTTCGCCTACAATCAAAGAGGATTTTGAACCCCACCAACAATAGAATTGGGCCAAACTTCCCACACAGAACCCTAATGAACAAACAGAAAACACTGTGTTTTCTGATAGTCTTTGACAACCCCTCTGACACCCCCTTGCAACCCCCCCAGGGGTCCTGGCTCCCAGGTTGAGAAATGCTGGGTTAAGTAAACTGTTAAGCTCCTCTGTATATGTAGGGGACTCAGTTGTTTGAAAATTAATTACTAAGAATATTATATCGAAATAAGTGATCCTTCAAAGTGGTGCAATGAAAATAATAAAACCGATACTCAGAATAGAAGAGTGAAACCTATAATTCTTGCAGGTCCAGAATAGCTACCATTATCCAGGTGTGAAAGGGGTCACTCAACGTGGAATTTATAGCCCAAGGGACCAAAGACAATAGGAAGTGACCAAGGGACAGCTATTGAGAACAGCCAATAACAACAAGAACAAAAAACCCCACATGATCTTAGTGGTTGTCTCATTACAACATGATGACAAGCAAAGTATTCAATTTGTATACCCTTTTAAAGTTTAATTTTAAAAATAAATGTAAGAGCATATTTCAGGCTATTGTTGAATTATTTCACTTAGAAGACAGGAAATAATAGAGTGGCAAGCTAATAACAGAAGTGTTAAATTTCTTACTTTGTTTCCCGCAGAAAGAATCCTTGGTCACTTAGAAATATGGAAGACAGCGGGGCCAAACAGTTCGTGGATGATCCCTAAGGCGTACTAAAAGCCAGCTGATGAAGATCACTGCTAATGACTCCGTTTGATGTATATTGTACAACATGCCTCATTTGCAGGTATCTACATATTTGGAATTTTATTCTTTTGTTGATGTAATTTACATTTGTCACATTTCTTCCGGATCACATAAAAATAGACCATGATCACTGGACATATAAACCAGCCAGGGGTCCTCGAACTTTTTAAACAGAGGGCCAAGTCACAGTCCCTCAAACTGTTGGAGGGTCAGATTATAATTTGAAAAAAAAAGAATGAATTTCTATGCGCACTGCACGTATCTTATATGTAGTGCAAAAAACACTTTACAAAAAAATACAATAATTAAAATAAAGAACAATTTTAACAAATATAAACTGATTAGTATTTCAATGGGAAGTACGGGCCTGCTTTTGGCGGATGAGAGAGGATTGTTGTTGTTGTTGTTGTTGTGTGTGCTTTCAAGTCGTTTCAGACTTAGGTTGACCCTGAGCAAGGGCCGGGTAAATGACCTTCTAGGGCCGTATTTGGCCCCCGGGCCTTAGTTTCAGTACTTATAGGAAAAGCAACACTGTACTGCTGAACAGAGCTTTTACTGTCAGAACCCAGACGCCTTAAAGAGCCAGACTCAGGAGTATGTCCAAAAGAATTGTTTATTAAAACAAAGTAAACAAGACTCAGAGACACTTACTTCAGTGTCTCTGGTCAAAACTCAAAAGTTGTAGCAATTTCCAGCTTGAAAAACAAACTAAGGCAATAATCCGGATTATCCTGGCAAAAAATCCGGATTAAACAGGAGCACTTCCAAAACACCCCAAAATCACACAGTAAATGGAAAACAATCAAGCAAAGAGCCGTGAAGAAGAGCCGTCATCCAAATGAAGTCCAGAGTCGAAGAAATCCAAGTCCGAAGTTGCGAGGTTCCAAAGTCCACAAGAGGCAGCATCGTCATCAAAAACAGTCCAAAGTCAAGGAGAGGGGAAATCCGCACTTACGGGAATCCAAGCCAGTTGGTACCCGAAGCAAAACAGCAAATCCTGTTGCGCCAACTCCACTGGCTACCGATCTGCTACCGGGCTGAATTCAAAGTGCTGGCGTTGGCCTTTAAAGCCCTAAACGGTTCCGGCCCAAACTACCTATCTGACCGCATCTCTGCCTATGAACCCACCAGGACTTTGAGATCTTCCGGGGAGACCCTGCTCTCGATCCCGCCTGCTTCTCAAGCTCGGCTGGCGGGGACGAGAGATAGGGCCTTCTCGGTGGTGGCTCCTCGGCTGTGGAACGCCCTTCCTACGGACATTAGACTAGCACCATCTCTAATGGTATTCCGCAACAAAGGTGAAGACCTGGATGTTTGTGCAGGCGTTTGAGTAATTTAGTGCAATCTGGTAATGGAACATAGGAATGGAACAGTGGACGACAAACCTGGACTACGCTTGGATGATGAGAAGATTGGGTACGGTTGTTTTTTGTAATAATTGTGCATTGTAATTGCTTATTGGTAATTTATGGATAATGTGTTAAGTCAATTGTTATATGTTGTATGGAACCACTGCTGTTTCTACTGTTTCTACTGTTTGTGAACCGCTGTGAGTCGCCTTCGGGCTTGAGATACAGCGGTATATAAGCAAAGTAAATAAATAAATAAATAAATCCAGGACCCAAGCCCAACAGGAAAGCAGCAGCGACACAACCCAAGGCACGAAACCAACACTTTGCCTACTGCAAAGTTCTATCAATTCAGTGTCTACTTTTATCTTACAACTCAACATCCGATGATGAGCTGCCCTCCACCCCATCCTCATCACTCTCAGCTGGTTAGCTTCCACAGCTGAGCGCCAATGCCCATCTCCTCCAACTCTTCCACCTCTTGTCAAGACTTAGGTCTCCCCAGGATTCTACAGTATCACCCGATTGCCAATCCCCACCACCAGAAAACCCCACAAATGTGTCACTGGACGTTGGTTGAGTACACACATTCTGAACCTCTTGTACCTTGGTCCAATCTAGTGCTTCCTCCTCATCCCCATCACTCCCAGACCCATCATTCCCAGAAAAACCCATGAAATCCTCTTCTTCCGTGGAAGCAGTAAGTATCTCCCGGATCTTCTTTCATTGACGCGCCTCATCTGACTCCTGCTCTCGAGTAATCCTCTTAATTCCCCTATTTACATCTACTGTATCGCCTTCCTCTTGCTCATTCATTTCACTCTCGGAAAACCCCTCGAAGGATTCTTCATCAGTGGGTGACATAAGGATCCCCTTCTCTGCTGTTCCTCATCTAGCTCCTGAATACCTCTTTTCCCTCCTCTTGACACTCCTACTACCAGTTGCAGTGTTGCCAACAGACTCTACTACAGTGGTTCTCAACCTTCTTAATGTCACGACCCCTTAATACAGTTCCTCATGTTGTGGTGACCCCCAAGCAAAAAATTATTGTTATTGCTACTTCATATCTGCAACTTTGCTACTGTTATTATGTAAATATCTGATATGCAGGATGTATTTTCATCACTGGACCAAATTTGAATACTGGTGGGGTTGGGGGGATTAATTTTGTCATTTGGGAGTTGTAGTTGCTGGGATTTATAGTTCACCTACAATCAAAGAGCATGCTTTACTCCACCAACGATGGAATTGAAGCAAACTTGGCACACAGAACTCCCATGGCCAACAGAAAATACTGGAAGGGTTTGGTGGGCATTGACCTTGAGCTTTGGAGTTGTAGTTCACCTACATCCAGAGTGCACTGTGGACTCAAACAATGATAGATCTGGACCAAACTTGGCATGAATACTCAATATGCCCAAATGTGAACACTGGTGGAGTTTGGAGAAAATAGTCCTTGACATTTGGGAGTTGTAGTTGCTGGGATTTATAGTTCACCTACAATCGAGAGAATTATGAACCACACCAATGATAGAATTGGGTGAAACTTCCCACACAAAACCCTCATGACCAACAGAAAATGTTGTGTTTTCTGATGGTCTTTGGCGACCCCTCTAAAACCCCCTCGCGACCCCTCCAGGGGTCCCGACCCCCATGTTGAGAACCACTGCTCTACTACAACAGATACATTTGACAATCTTATGGTGCTTCAATTTAAACAATCAGTAACAAAGAAAGAACCATAAATATGAAATAATATGTAACAATAAACTATAGTAACATACTGCAGTTGATTATAATATTATGAGGTAGTGGTCATGCTTCAAAGAATTTTTGAATGTACCCTACATATTGTATTGTTCATTATCATTCTACATAAATTATTCACAAGGAGATGAAAGCTTTTGTTGTTGTCAGGAACACAGTAATGGAGCAAAAATTCCCAGGGTGTTGTATCAATTTCCTGTTAGGACTATATGTTATTGATGAGTCTTCCCCTTTCCATAGAGGACGTTAATTTATCAAATTACTATGACGATATGGTAGTATTAAATATCCTGTTTGTGAACTTACAGTTTGATAGTGCAGTTGTATCATGGAAGATGGAAACAAAAGGTTGTGCACAAACTCAGTAGGTTAAACATCCATCTATCCTTTGTTCTGCAAGAGTGGTATTTCACATGCATTAAATTGCCTTGCAAAATATGCACATTAATCCATTAATGTATGTTACTAATGAAATACGAAGGCAAGTTCCTCCCACCCCTACCCTCACCCCACAAATACCATAAGAACATAATCCATACATTAATGCATCTTTAGTCTTTCACAGTACTTCCATCTTTATTGTTGTTTACAGTGTGGATGATGGAAATTTTTTGGAGCCTTTAGTGCTTCAAAAACAAAGAGTCTCTAGTCTATTTAGGGATCAGACCAAGCGTCAAACAACTGCAAGCTGACCAGTGTGGGATGAGGACAATAGAGTTGTGGGAATCAACGGCATCACAGTTTTGAGGGGCCAATAAGCCGTTGTGGCCTTCCCCAAAATTTAGGTGGGAAACCACAGTTCTCCCATCAAAATTTACACTGTAAGCCATCTTCTTTCTGGGTGAAATTATTGAGATGGAGACCTACTTAATGGTTGGAATACTGTATCGTCAAAGGGTTTCATGATCGGAATCACTAGGCTGCTGTGAGTTTTCCGGCTGTATGGCCATGTTCCAGAAGCATTCTCTCCTGACGTTTCGCCTCCATCTATGGCAAGTATCCTCAGAGGTTGTGAAGTCTGTTGGAAATTAGGACAAGTGGGGTTTATATCTGTGGAATGTCCAGGGTGGGAGAAAGAACTCTTTCTCTTTGAGGCAGGTGTGAATGTTTCAATTGACCACCTTGATTAGCATTGAATAGCCTTGCAACTTCAAAGCCTGGCTGATTCCTGCCACTGTGGTCTTCCCCAATATTTTGTTGGGAGACCAAAATTCTCCCAATTGTTGTGATATACATTGTAAGCCACTGTTTCTGTAGTCCACCTACATCCAGAGAGCACTGTGGACTCAAACAAAGATGGATCTGGACCCAACTTGGCATGAATACTCAATACGCCCAAATGTGAACTCTGGTGGAGTTTGGAGGGAAATAGACCTTGACATTTGGGAGTTGTAGTTACTGGGCTTTATAGTTCACCTACATTCTGAGAGCATTCTGAACCCCACCAACAATAGAATTGGGGCAAACTTCCACACAGAACTCCCATGACTAACAAACAATACTGTGTTTTCTGGTGATCTCTGGCGACACCGCTGACCACCCCCTCGCGACCCCCAGGCTGAGAAACGCTTCTTTAAGCCATCTTATTTCTGGCTGAAATCATTGCAATGGAGACCTACTTAATTGTTTGAATACGGTTGAGTTTTTACTTTGCAAGAACAGAAGGCGTCAAGTTCTCTTGACTGCTTTGGGGTGTTAAGCCTTGGGCGGGGCGCCTTGTTTTTGTCTCCCTTTGACTCAACAGGAAGACTCGAAGTCTTAGATTTGCATCTCTCTCTCTCAAAATGCTGTAGGCTGTTGTTTCGCTCCCGTTTACTTCACTCCCGCAGCAGTGAACAGCACAGGAGGGGGGGGGGGAGGCCCCTGAAATGATCCAGTTGCTACAGAAACCAGTCTAGCAGGGTGAAGAACAAAATGGTAAGCC